TGCTTATAAGACTTTCAATAAGTGTTCACTGAATAAATGTATGGTACAGAAAAATAATACATTATTAGTTATTTTCAACCCCTTCCCTTCCTGTATCTTCTGAAGAACAAGGATCCCCAGGAGCACCTTGGGTTTTGCTTAGTAGAGTGATTGCTGGGATGCAAGTGATGGAAGCCAAAGGAGAAAGACCAAGTTTCTTTTTGTGAGAAAAATGTACAGAGAGACCTTCTGGAGATGGAGGGTGTTCCCCACCATCATGGAGAAGAAATGTTGGATGGGAAATGGGGTTGAGAGAAAGACATATGGCAGCTCACATAGGATGTAGAACTTAGGAGACACAGGTGTTTTAAAGTGTTGCACAGAGTAATTCCATTTTCCGCATCCACACAAACTTTAGTAACAGTTGACATGACTTGTCCATGTTTTTATTTTTTACTCCTTTACTTTTTTTATTTATTTACTAGAGGCCTGGTGCATGAAATTCATTCACTGGGAAGGGTGTCCCTCAGCCTAGCCTGTACCCTCTCCAATCTGGGACTGCTGGCTCCCAACCAGTAGCCTGCCTGCCAACCTGATCACCCCCTACCCACTCCCCTGCCAGCCTGATTGCCCCTAACTGCCCTCCCCTGCCAGCCTGATTGCCCCTAACTGCCCTCCCCTGCCAGCCTGGTCATCCCTACTTGCCCTCCCCTGCCAGACTGATCACCCCTAACTGCCCTCCCCTGCCAGCCTGGCTATCCCCAACTGCCCTGCTGGCCTGGTAACCCCTAACTGCCCTCCCCTGCAGGTCTGATTGCCCCTAACTGCCCTCCCTTTTAGGTTTGGTCCCTCCCAACTGCCATCCCCTGCTGGCCTAATCACCCACAACTGCACTTCTCTGTCAGCCATCTTGTGGTAGCCATCTTGTGTCCGTCCACATGGGGGCAGCCATCTTTGACCATATGGGGATGACCATCTTGTGTTGGAGAGACAGTCAATTTGCATATTGCTCTTTTATTATATAGGACTTTTAATCCTCACTCGAGAATAATTTTCCATTGATTGTTAGAAGATATGGAAGAGAGAAGGAAAGACAGAGAGAAACATCAACGTGAGAGAAATATACTGATTCGTTGCATCATGCACGCACTTGGACCAGGGTCCTGGGCTGGGGAGGATGCTGCATAACCTTGATTGGAATCAAACCCAGAACCCGTCAGTCTCCAGAATGACACTCTATCCACTGGGTCAAACCGGCTAGGGTTGTCTATGTTTTCAGAGAATCATTTAGGCTTGTGTTTCCTCTAGGGGGAAGAAATCCATGTCTCAGACACAAGGAATTTGAGCCAAGGTTATCTGACCTCAACTCCATGGAGGGCAGGAGGGGAAAATCTCCAGACTTGGGGTCAGACAACCTGGGATCAGATCTCGACATTTTCATTTACACTTACAAATTTAAGTAACTCGCAAAAACTCTATAAGCTTGCACGTCTTTAGCTATAAAATAGGCATGGTATTATCTAACCCACAGGATAGTTTTAAGGATAAAATGGGCTAACAGATAAAGGTTCCAAGATCATGCTTGGTTCCAAGACCAAAAAGTTGAATCTGTGTAATTATTTGTACATCCTTCTTCCAACTGGTCCAGTCTCCAAAAGAAGTTACTTTCAAATAAATGCAACCAAACAGCCAAGAATAATAAAGAAGGGATGCTAAACTTCTCTTGGAAAACATTAGGATGTCCAACTCATACTCTTAGCAAACCTTCTCACAAGCCCTTTCCTAGTCTTCTCATACCTCACAATTCCATAAATCCTCTTACTTAGCTACATGCCACTCACCTCACAGAATACCTTTACCAATGTTCCTTAGATTATTTTTTCTCTTATCCTCATCATGTAGCTCAAGAAGACCAAGGCCTTCCTTTCTCTCTTAGTCACTTTTTCTCCCCATTGTTTTCATCATGAAAATCCAGGAACATAAACAATAGAACTTTGTTTCCCACAGCTCTGCAGGCTGGACATCCAAGGTCAGGTTCTAGTGAAGGCTCTCTTCCTGGTTGCAGACTGCTGGCTTCTCCCTGTGTCCTCACATGACCAGGAAACTCTCTCAGTCCTCTTTTGTTATGAGGGCCTGAATCTTATTCATGAGGCTGGTGGTTGACCGAATCACCTCCCAAAGGCCTAATACCATCACATGGAGCATTAGAATTTCAATATTAATATTGGGGGGGGGGGGGAGACACAAACATTCAGACCATACCACCATAGAATGTGAACAAAAGAGTAAGTACAGAAAGAAAGCATTTCTTTTTTCTTTTTCTTTTCTTTCTTTTTTTTTTTTTTTCAGGAAAGAGGAAAGACCAGGAGCACTTCCATTTCAATAATGCTTTACTTGGTCATCTTTGTAAAGAGACCAATTGAACTCCAGCCACAGAACAAAACTTGCAGCCAGAAGTTCAGAAGTCCTGGGCATCTGATATCATAGGAGCAGAGCTGCTACTTTCTGATTGGAGAACTAGGTTTCAAGTGCCTCCTAGTGTGGTCAGCATCCTGTCCAGGAACTCTGTGTCCCTCTGTGAGCAGAGCAGGTGTTCTCCCAAGAGTTTCCTCCGAGTTGGCATCTGGCATCTGTTGTTGTTGATGATGTTTTTAAATATATTTTATTATTTTTTTTTTACAGAGAGGAAAGGAGAGTGATGGGAGAGTTAGAAACATCGATGAGAGAGAAACATGGATTCAGCTGCCTTTTGCACACCTCCCACTGGGGATGTGCCTGCAGCCAAGGTACATGCCCTTGACTGGAATCGAACCTGGGACCCCCTAGTCCACAGGCTGACACTCTATCCACTGAGCCAAACTGGTTAAGGCAATTGTTGTTTTTTAAACCCTTCTTATTTTATCTCATACCATACATTTTAAAATATTTTTATTAGTTATTTTCCTTGTAACTTTTCCCTCCCTCATTTTGCCTGACAGAGCAGATTCATGAGCTTTCAATCCATGCTCATTTTTCTGACTCGATGTAGAAAAAATAATGTGTTCTTCGTTTGTGGATATGCTTTTTAAAAGAGATATACCACTTTAAAACTTATGGGTAGGCAGTTAGGTGTACTGAATATATTTGGGGGCTTAAAACTAGACAAAGATGGGTATAAATCCTAGTTTTGCCTTTGAGAAGTTTCTAAACCTCTCAGCTTTATATGTGAAATGAGTAAGGTAATGCCTGTCTCCTGGAGTTCTAGGGGAAATTAATGAGATAATCCTGGTAACACCCTTCTAGATCAGGCCATTTAATAGAAGGTGTTAAAGGAAAGGAAATTGGAATTATGAGTAAAAAAATTCCCTACTTTTCAATGCTCGGCTGCACACATAGTAAACACTCCTAAAGGGCTTGCCTTATGTCCCCTTGAGAGTCTCCAGTTTAGGGTTTGGGGGGAAGTGTGTGAACAGGCTACCTAGAGGGGAGCACACCCAAATTCTAGGGAAAAGAAAGGATCAATAAATCATCCATTGCTCACTTTCCTTTGAAACTTTCTCTTCCAGCAAACCTTCTGAGTTTAGATTCAGCAACAGGACCCTGATTCAAGTCCATTTTTTTGTTTGTTTTAAATATATTTTATTGATTTTTTTTTTTTTTTTTTTTTTTTTACAGAGAGGAAGAGAAAGGGATAGAGAGTTAGAAACATCGACAAGAGAGATTCATCTATCGGCTGCCTCTTGCACACCCCCTACTGGGGATGTATCCCCAACCAAGGTACATGTCCTTGACCGGAATCAAACCTAGGACCCTTCAGTCCACAGGCCGAAGCTCCATCCACTGAGCCAAACCGATTTCGGCAAGTCCACTTTTGTTTTATTTGGAAACTGCTTGGATTAAAAAAAAAAAAAAATTGTTGGGGGGTGGGTAAGAGATCAACCAGAGGATTTGTAAGTATGCATATAAGCACAACCAATACACACAAGACACGGAGGGGGAGTTGAGGGGGGAGAGTAGTGAGGGCAAATGGTGGGGGGAGGTCGGTGGAGGGAGGGAAAAGGAGACACATGTACTTACTATTTGTAATACCTTAAACAATAAAATAAAAATAACAAAAAATAAAAAGTAAATTTTAAAAACTAAACAAAATAAAAAAATAATTGGAAGACAACATGAAAGGGTCCTGCAGAGGATACCCTTGTTTTGTTTGTGGTTCTCATGGAATCTAAGACCATTTTAAGCTCCTCACGGGACAGACAAGGAAAGTTTTTGTTAGTGTCTTTTATTTTTTTGCCCCAGAGTCTAGCATCATAGGCTAGGGAAAGCCGACCCTCAAAATGATGAAGGGATAAATGAACGTCAGGATGAAGACACGAATGATGAAAAATGAATTAATGACTCCGAGCCAGGGTTGGAACATCGATGAGGGTCCTTGTTTGTTGCTCCTTTCTTCACAGCTGCTGGTAAGATTCTTGGCCCATCTCCTCCTTTATCACTTCTCTTTCTCTCCCCTCTGCCTCTTCCATTTTCATGGTCTAACAAGACCCTATATAGAAGCGTGATGCCCTTCCAGCCCCAGCTCCTCCCTCACAGCCCCGCCCCCTCCGCCGCGAGGCCCCGCCCCTCCGCCCGGGCTCTGCAGAAATGAATGGCAGCGTGGCCGCCGCGCGGCTCGGGGCGCTGATTGGCCGCCGGGTGCCGTGATGCACGGCGGCCCGGGGGAGCACGCAGGTGGGCGGGGCCGGCGGGGGAGGAGCCGGACCCCGGGGCGGGGCTCGGAGGCTCAGGGGCGGAGAAGCCGGGAGGCGGGAGGCGGGAGGTGCCGGGCCCGTTTAAGCGGCCTCCCTCCCGCCCCCAGCCGCCCGGTCTGGCCCCGGCTCCATCCCGAACCCCGGCCTGACCCCCTCCGGCCCTGCCCCGCCGAGCGGTCCGCGGTGCACCCGGGCGGCCTCCGGAGCAACCCAAGCCCATGAGGGCCGCGCGCCCGGCCGCCGGCGCTGACGAGACGGAGCTCCCGGCCCGCGAGGGGGAGCGGAGGATCAATGCGGTTCCAGAACCGATTCCAGAGGTGAGAGGGATGGAGCCCCGCGCCCCCGCCCGTGCCAGATCCACCTCCTCCCGTGTGGGTCCCTGGCGCCCCATCCGGCTCCATCCCTCGGTGGATGGATCCGCCTTGGCCGGGGACCAGCTCCCGGGGATTCCCCGCCCTGCAGCCGCTGGGCGATCCCCTCCCTCCGAGGACCGGGACCCGGTGCCTGACCCGGGTCCCCCCTGGCGATCCGCGGACCTCGGGTTTCCAGATCCCCGGTGCTCATCAGATTTAGCACACCATCCCCCTCCCCCATTCCTATCCAGGCGGGGCACTTGCTTGCTCAGAGACCCGAACCCCAATCGCAGGCGCCGCCCCCGGATCCACAGACTCTCCGGCTTTGGCCGTCACCCCTTTCCCCCCAGCCTGGAGGAAGGAGGGCCCGTGGCTGCAGCTGCGCCCTGCAGCTGGGTCTGTCGGAGAACTGGGGCGCTGGGCCTTTTCGGTGCTTTGCAAGTGGCCCTGGCAACGGGGGAAACTGAGGCATCCTCCGCTGGTTTAGCTTGTCTGGCTCTGTCCGGGCCTTGGAGGTTCTCAGGCTTCTTTAGCGCCCCCACTAATCCCCCACCTCCACCCCCCTCTGGCGGTGCTATTCGGGGCACCGCTAAGGGTCAACTTAGTATCCGGGTGGCGGTAAGGTCTGCTGTTGGGGCGCTCGTGTGAGGGAAGGAGGAGGAGGAGGAGCCGCCGGGGCGCGCCACCGGAAGGATGGCAGGCTGCTCATTGACTGGAGAGCTGGTTTGCATGCCAGCCGGCCGACCGGCCAGCCGGGGGAGGCACCGTGGCTTTAAGCCGGGCTCTGGGCCCCTGCCATCCAGCCCTGGATGGAGGCTGGCCCATGGTTCCCAGAGGAAGCTCTGGGCTTTTTTTTTTTTTTCCCCTTTATTCTTCGGCTGTAAGTGGGTGAAAGTTCACCTCCCCTGTGTTTGTGGTAATTCTCCATCTCTTTGTCTGAATCAGGCCTCTCTGTTCCTATTCCCAGACCTCCTCCCCCTAAGCAAGCTGGCTTAGTGTGCAGTGACAGGAGGGGGGGGGGGTGATTTGAAAGAAGGAAAGGAAGGTCTAGAATCTTCCCAAGGAGGTTGTTAGGCACGAACCTTTTCTTTTCAAAATTTTCAGGGCACTTGTTTTATTTCCGATTTTCTAATTCCTCAATGCCCACTCCCCCATTTATGCTGATCTCATCCCCCTTCCCCCCCACCACCGCGATGCAAGCCAAAAGCCAAAGCATGCATAGGAAGTGCTGTGGTGGACTGGGCTATCGGAAGGACAATCAGTTTGAAGACTTGGATCCACTTCTGAATGGCCCTCAGGGGGTGGAATGCCTGGCACCGTTCCCCCAGTGGGAACATCATATCGGGTGCTTGTAAAGGCGAAAGGGAACCATGATGTTCTGGTTTCAGACCCTGACGTCAGGAATGAAGACAGGGGGGCTTTTTCGGGGAGAATGTACCCTGGGTTCAGGCATGATGGGTGAAGCCCTGTGCACGGGATTTGATTTGGTTTTACTTCTGCATGTCTGTGCTCTTCCTGTTTGCAGAGGACAGCGGCAATATTCTGTGAAATTCCCCTTCCTTATTTGATTAAGAGTTTCCTTTCCTATTCTTGGAATTCTACTTTAGAAAGAAAAAGAGATGGTTTTTATTGTTGGTTGCACAAACAATTAAAACAATGTTAAGAGACAAAAAAAACAATCCACTGTTTTAGGATTCATCTATCTCACCTGATTGGATTATTTTCTTTTTGCTGGACTCTAATCTATCATAGATGTAATGTGATTGTGTGGTCTGCTTTATTCATTTATATAAAAATGGAATGTACATTTTCTTTTTGTTTGGCCCAGACTTTGTAATTTTCCCAGTGGCTGCACAATATCAGTGACTATTTAAAAGTTATTTTCTTGATTATATCTTGATATACCCTGATTTTTTAAAATTTATTGAGAGAAACATTGATTTATTTCACTTATTTATGCACTCATTGGTTGATTCTTTTTTAAAAATATATATGTTTTTATTGATTTTTTTTATGGAGAGGAAGGGAGAGGGATAAAGAGTTAGAAACATCAATGAGAGAGAAACAACCAACGTACATGCTCTTAACCGGAGTTGAACCTGGGACTCTTGAATCCACAGGCTGACGCTCTATCCACTAAGCCAAACCAGTTAGGAGCGGCTCATTGGTTGTTTCTTGCATGTACCCTGACTGGGGATTGAACACGAAACCTTGATGTATTAGGCCGACACTCTACCAACTGAGCTATCCGACCAAGGGCTACCCTGATTTTCTTTGAACACTAAATGGTGCCATCATTTCTTGTTTTTGTATTATAGACTAGATTGGAAAGGTATTTCTCAGGGTCAATTTGAACTTAGAAATAAAGCTTGAAAGTAAAAAGTAATATAACAACCAAAAGCCCTGGCTTTTGTGGTCACACATTGAAATGTTGGGTACTGTTCTCTTAACACGTAAAGCCATGTTCACTTATATATATCTTTTGCGCATTGAGGGTAGTTACGGTAGATAAATTACAGAGGAACTAGAGGGAAGGGCGCCCTGTCTTTGAACGCATGTGCTCCTCCTGATAGATTTATCAGGACTCAATTGAAGAGCATTTGATCTCAGTAAACACATTTCATTTAGGCCATGGCTTGTGGCTCAGCATAACTTACAAGAAAACCTGAACACCCTGCTGTTTTGTTCATAATGGAAACTTGGCGGTTATTGTAGCTTCGGGTCAGCTTCCAGCGTTCCGCCATTTCTGGGAGAGCTGGCAGGAAGCTGAGCCCACTGTCTGAAGTGGGGGCTTTCTGCCGCATGGCTTACGATAGGAAAGGGTATGACATGGAAGGCCCCACTGGGACATGGCATATTTTAATATATTTTATTAAATTTTTATGGAGAGGAAGGAAGAGGGATAGAGAGTTAGAAACATCGATGAGAGAGAAACATGGATCAGCTGCCTCCTGCACACCCCCTACTGGGGATGTGCCCACAACCAAGATACATGCCCTTGACCAGAATTGAACCTGGGACCCTTGAGTCTGCAGGCCGACGCTCTATCCACTGAGCCAAACCTGTTTCAGCAGACATGGCATATTTTATCTCTTTTGCTTTATCACTTGTACATTTGAGTCCTCCCTCTCCTACATTCCCCTCCTTGCCCCCCATCATCACAGCATCTCTGACTGATTAGAATAACTGCTAACAGTGAGTGCCAACCTTTGTCAGGCAGTGGCTGGGTATTTGTATAGGGGGTGGGCAAAAGAAGACCTAGAGTTGTGACTTTTTTTTTTTTTTTAGTTAATAAAGCTATTTGTAATAATCATAACCTGTATGTCTTTTTCCATACAAACAACTCTAAACCCACTTCTGCTCACCCTGTATAGTATCCTCAACTATAACCCTGGAAGGGTTATACTCATTGCCCAGAAGAACAGATGGGGTTCAAGAATAAAAGGGAACTTGGCCTAGTCACACAGCTGGGCAAAGGGCAGATCCAAGGTTCAATTTCTTGTCCCTTTTATCACCCGTGCTGCCAGCTCACCGCGTCTGTCTCACTGCACACACTGCAACATCTATGTGTCCGGCGTAGAGGCCTAGGACCCACAGTAGCTCCTGCTGTATCTTGTGGGTGCATGCTCCTTTCTCCAGCCTTGCAACCGAAAAGCCAGGGGAAAGGATCCAGCCCCAGCCCCAGGGGCCACTCAAATGGAATATGAGGCAAAACACCACATTCTAAAGCATCAGGAAGTATTCCAAGATTGCCCGTTGCTTTTTTTGCCCATGTTCTCAGAGCACTGAATCATAAGCATGGGTAGTATCCTTGTATTATATATGCCTTCTCCCTTATTTTTTTATTTTTAATATATTTTATTGATTTTTTACAGAGAGGAAGAGAGAGGGATAGAGAGTTAGAAACATCGATGAGAGAGAATCATCGATCAGCTGCCTCTTGCACATCCCCCATTGGGGATGCGCCCACAACCAAGGTACATGTCCTTGACCGATATCAAACCTGGGACCTTTCAGTCAGAAGGCCGATGCTCTATCCACTGAGCCAAACCGGTTTCAGCTGCCTTCTCCCTTATTTAATAATTAAATTACATGTCCCCTGCCACTGCCACCACCTCTGGCAATGCGCTCATTCATAAAGGGGAACTCATAATTTTCTGTGCTCAGAGGTCGGCTCACGTTGCCCCATCAAGGGATATTGAAGGAGTCCTTGGAATGTCCATGGTCTGGGCCTTTAAGAATTTTCTTTACGTAACATTCAGAGTTCTTTTGGCTCCAAGAGAGTTTGTTTCTCTTCGTTACTTACAGAACCTGCTGCATCCCCAGTGAAACCAGTAACAGTGGGATAATGCTTCACTGACACAATACAGTTCAGCTGCCTTTCTATTCATTCATTCAGCACCTGCTTATTAAGCTCCAGCAATAAACTGGGCCTCGTGCTTGGGATTGGAAGTGAAATGGTGGACCAGGTGGCCTTTATGGAATTCACATTACAGTGTTGAGAGATGAAATAACAAACATTTGAAAAATCTTGCTAAATGTGATGAGGGCTATGGTGGAGGGGGGGGGGGACTGAAGTGATATTATTAGTAGTAGCCTTAGTATTATGTTAATCTTCACCCGAGGGTATTTTTTTCCATTGATTTTTAAAAATATATATTTTTATTAATTTCAGAGAGGAAAGGAGAGGGAAAGAGAAACATCCATGATGAGAAAGAATAATTGGTTGGCTGCTTCTTGCATGCCCTGCACTGGGGATTGTGCCCACAACTTGGGCATACACCCTGACCAGGAATCAAACTGTGAGCTCCTGGTTCATAGGTCAACACTCAACCACGTAGTCATGCCAGCTAGGCCCCATTTGTAGGAATATTTTTAGAGAGAGTGGAAGACAGAGAAACATCCAGGTGAGAGAGACACATGGCTTGATTGCTCGGTGTGTGGGAGTAGATTGGCATTTTACATCATTTGGGTCTTGGGAGTGACTTCTTAAGCAGGCTAGATTGTGCCCTGGCAGATCAGGGAGAAATGAAAGAATGGCACTGTGCATTCCCCATCTAAATAATTGTGCTCTCTATGCCGCTGAGCCCCAGACAGCGATCTGCTCTTAGCATGGCTTCTCCTACCTGTGCCCACTGCCCAATGTTGGCTCTCGCCATAGCAGAACCTACCTGAGGTCACACGGGTAGGGTATTTTCCTCCACAACTCCCGAGTTTATTTTTACCCTGAGTGGTCCCAGGTGGGCAGGGACTGAGCCGTGACAAACATGGCCACTCAGCTTCTTCGCTTTTAGCAGAAAATGGGAAAGTCTATCCTGGTTGCTGTGTAACGGTCTATTTTTAGATGGGGCTGCCAGAGATATAAATTGCTATTTTAGTCTGCAGCTACCGGTGGGTAGACAAACGCTGCTTACTGCGCCCTCCATGGAGCTCCCCCAGTTTTACTCTGGCCTCTGCCGTCCACCCTGGAGCCTGGCTCTTGACCCTTTACGGTTTCTCCCAGGGCGTGAGGCTTCCAGCTCTGTTGTTGTGTCTCTGGGAAATGATGCGGCAGATCCTTGAATGCTGGGGACGCCGAGAAAGCGTTCGCCCCAAGAGTGTCATTATTTTCCTTTTTACAAATAAGAGCTGGATAGCAACACTCCCGTCCCTTAGGAAATTAGTTAAATTATTTAAAGGATCATCAGGGGAGAAAAGATTTATTTATGTGAGGGCATAGCTTGGGTCCATTCTGGAGCTGCTCACGGCATGTTTCTCTTATGCAGTTTCCAAGCCATCTGGTGAATTCCATTCCATGAGTATGTCTGCACACACGTTAGCTAGCTAACCAAATTCATTCCCCCGTGGATTTTCCCTTTGAACTCTCTGTGGAGTCATTGGGGACTGCCATTGTATTTTTGTTTAGTTGCTCCAAGGACAATGGCCCCTCCTGATTCAGGGAGAATGCGCCAGTCTTTTGTTCACAAACAGGACAGTGTTTGGAATGGTTTGGCCATGTGTGTTAGCCTATTTTTGGCCACCTGGCTCCGCCCTTCGGGTCAGCCAGGTACCACTTTTCCGTGTATTCATTAATAAGGTGTGACTAGTCAGAGTGCCTAGTGGCAAATACCAGTAACCAAGTCCCCCCTCCCTCCCTGCAAACTAGCTCCAGCACAAAGACAGTGTGTGTGCAACGCCTGCTGACGCTTCGCAGGCTCCCAGCACAGGAATGCAGTGGGGCCCGAGGCCTGGAGGCTGCCGGGCTCCGTGACCCCCATCTGCTTCTCTGCATCTCGTTCAGGCAGCTGTTTTATGTTCCTGAGTTTGCATCTCCCTTTTCCCAGAGGACAGACTGTCTAAACCAGAACCCATGGGTGTGAGCGGGGTTTGGGGGACCCTCACCCACACAATGAAGTGGGAGAATGCTGTGGATCTCTCCAGGGTCTGCCGTGGTCATGCCTGTCACTGCGTTGGTGCTTGCCACAAAGTTAGCCCCAGGGAAGTGTGGGGTATGGGTCTGTGTAGCACAGGTTGTGATTATGTAGGTACATCCATGTGTGGGTATGTTTGAATTCTAGAGCCAGAGCTTCAGCTGCGAGTCACCTGTTTGGGTTTTGGAGCAAACGCCTTTCATTCAGGAAGGGTGCGGGTGAAGAGGCAGCTCCTGTTTGGGTGGCCCAGAGGCAGCCAGGTGCCATTTATTTATTTAATAAATAATCTGCTGCCAGATCAGATAATGCAACAGAGAGAAAGTAGTTGGACAGCCGGCTGGTCATGGGATGTAGGGTTTAAAGGTCTGCATGTATAAAGCTTTATAAATTTTGAGAGGAAAAAACAGAAGCCTTTCAAATGCATCGTGTCCCTTTTCGTTTAATGGCCATTACTGGACTTTGTAGAGTTTAGGGAAATCCTCTTGGTTTACTTTCTGTTAACGGTTAGGATTTGGTTGTGCCTTGTGTGTGTGTGTGTGTGTGTGTGTGTGAGAGAGAGAGAGAGAGAGAGAGAGAGAGGCGGGTACTAGTTGAAGGGAATGGATATGGTTTCTGTTTGCTTTGGGTTGGTAGGCTTTTCTTTTGAACGACCTGAGAGAATAAACTAGGGCATTTGCTATGGGCTCAGTTTACACCTGCGTAGAGGCTTTGGTTCTGTTCCCGTAGCTGCCTCTTTGTTTAGAATAGACCACAGGCTCCCCACTGCCTTTCACACCCTTTGAGCTGTTCTCACGTGATGTCTTTGTCTCTGCAGGTTCATGAACCACCGGGCCCCAGCCAATGGCCGCTACAAGCCAACTTGTTATGAACATGCTGCTAACTGTTACACACATGCAGTGAGTATGCGTTTCCTGCTCTTTCATCCTCCCAGAAAGCTTTGCAGGGAGGCAGGGGCAGTTCTCCCTGGTAACGTCCACCCCATTGGTTGGATTTACCCATCCCTGTGACCTTATCTGCCAGCGTAGCAGTGCGGGGTCCTGTCACCAGAAACAGTGCTCTGTCCATCCTGGACTTGCTTCCTCTGAGAAGGTCTTTACGAAAGAACAATAGTAAGCACCCTAGTCAGAGACTGTCACCCTGGAGTGAAATGAATTGCCTTTTCAGGATAGTCAGCTGTGTTCATTTGGCAAGGGGAGTTCACCATTGGTTGATAAAGGTGCTTTTTATTTCTAAATGATCCCTGAAACTGGTAGCCACACCTTCCCTGTTACCACAGTGGCTATGCTCCTCAGTACATATTATATTTCTTTAAGAAGAAGAAAAAAAAAAAAAAAAATATATATATATATATATATATATATATATATATATATTGATTTTTAGAGAGAAGGGAGAGGGGGAGAGAAAGAGAAACATTGATATGAGAGTGGAACATTGATTGGCTGCCTCCTCTATGCCCCCTACTGGAGACCAAGCCTGCAACTTCAGGCATGTGCTCCAACCAGGAATTGAACCAGCAACCTTGTGGTGCATTGGATGACACCCAACCGAGCCACACTGGCCAGGGCACAAATGTTATTTCTTGTTGAAGAAAGAGCTAATTTGATCTCTAAATTCTTAATTTTCTTTCTTTCTTATAAAAGCAAAACATGCTCAGTATAAGAAACTTAGAAAACACTGAAAAATGTAGAAGGGAAAAAAAAAAACTACTCAGAAATAAATGAATGCTTTGGTGCATTTCTTCTTGTAGGTGTAGTGTTTCTGAATATGTATGTGTTTGTATAGTTTTTCTATTAATGGCCTATCACTGGCCTTTTCCTTGTGTCATTATACATTTCCCCTCTTCGCTGGTTTCATTATTCCCTTTGGAACTCACATTTAGTGAGGTTTTAGAAGGGGGGGGAAAATGGTATCTAGTCTGAAGACAAGCAATAGAAAAGGAGACCAGTTTAGTCCTTTAGTGAGGGGTGTCATGTATGCAGTGCTAGTACAATACATGTGCCATTAGATTAAAATTCGTTTGAAGTCGAGTTGTGTACAATTCCTGGGCTCTGAATAGCAGGACCTGTTTCCAATACAGCTGGCTACCTCATCCGGCTCTCCTGACCATTACCCAAGAAAGGCAATGTTTGTTCTAAAAGAGGCGACCTTTCTAAAATTACCCTGCTATGTTCCGAGGGGAGCCGCGCTCGCGCGCTCTCTCTCTCTCTCTCTCTCTCTCTCTCTCTCTCTCTCTCTCTCTCTCTCTCTCTCTCTCTCTCTAGAGCATGTGCGTGCCTTTCCCACTCCTGTCCTCCAGGTCCGTCTCCTCGCCTCTCTCCTTCCCCTGAGCTCCAAGGGCCCTTCTTTTGCCTCTGTAACTTAGTTCCTGAGCCCGTTTCTTCTAAAGAAACTTTCCCTTATTAAAAAAGAAAAAAGAAAAGTATCCCCGGTAATCCTGTGGATTTGTAACTCGGCCTCAGTTCGGTGAGAGCGGGTGTTCACGGTGCTGTCCCTCCCCCAGTTCCTCATCGTCCCGGCCATCGTGGGCAGCGCGCTCCTCCACCGTCTGTCTGACGACTGCTGGGAGAAGATCACGGCGTGGATCTATGGCATGGGCCTCTGCGCCCTCTTCATCGTCTCCACAGTGTTCCACATGGTGTCCTGGAAGAAGAGCCACCTGAGGTACAGCCGAGCAGACGTTCTCCTGCCTAGCAGACTTCGTTATTATTATTATTTTTTAAAATAGTTCTATTGATTTCAGAGAGGAAGGGAAAGGGAGAGAGAGAGAGAGAGAGACAGAGACATCAATGATGAGAGAGAATCACTGATTGGCTGCCTCCTACACGCCCACTACTGGGGATTGAGATCGCAACCCAGGCATGTGCCCTTGACCGGAATCAAACCCGGGACCCTCAGTCCACATGCCTACGCTCTATCCACTGAGCCAAACTGGCCAGGGCCTGCCTTGCAGACTTTAATGCTATCCCATTACTTAGGAAGCTTCCTACGGATTGGACAGGTGTTGAGGACCCTCATGTATGTCTAGCAAAGCGGGCCTTTCTCAGAAACTAACAAAATGGCACTGCTTCTGGGACTGAACAACAAAAACCCCGAGGCCCGTTTGCCAGTGCCGTAAGCGCACTAAGGCATTGCCAGGCGCTGCGGCTGCGGGGCAGGGACCACGAGCACTGAACTGGGAGGCGGTGGCTGGCTGGGAGCCCCCACCCTGCCAGGTTAGCCTTGCGGATGTCACCGGATCTCAGGGAGCCCCCGTTTCTCCATCACTAACATGAGGATAACAATGCCTTCCTCACCGGGTTATTGTGATAGCTGAAGGAGACGTGCATGTGGAAGTGAAAAAGACTCTGGGACTGTGAGAGGCGAGGCGGGACACGGTAGCTTGGGATCACTGTCCTACAAAGTTCAGCTTCCGAATTAGGGCCTGTGTGTGTATGGGTTCAAACCCAGTTCCTGTGTTTTGCTACTATTTGCTATCAGGCACTTTCCAAAAACATTCTGGCCCCGAGCCTCTCCATGAGAAGGACCTGGAAGCATTCCCCCTCTGAGCGAAGGACTAATTTGGTGGAGGGGGAGGGAGGGCACAAAGGGAGCGACATACCGTTTAGTTGCTTATGAAATAGACTCTGTACAACCCAAAGGGCAAATTTCTTCTCCAAAAAAGGAGAATCCAGAGCAGACTTAAGAGTGACTTAAAATAATATCAGAACGTATCTTTTTGTTTTACAGAATGTCCAAAAATATCTCAAACTGCTCAAACAATCCAACATTCAAAAGACATGCTTTCTTTAAGAACAGGACTGGGGGGTGATGCTGTGTTATTGGTTTCCTGGCATGTGGAATCACAGAAGTCATAGAGTTTTACAGCTGGATGGATCCTGAGGGATCCTCTAATCCAAACCCGTTCATTTTCACCTGGGGAAACTGAGGCTCAGAGATGTGGCCTGCCTGGCCCGAGTCAGCGATACCTGAAGAATCCGATCATCCCAGGGCTTCTGACTCTAGTCCTCAGGTGCTTTTCACCCCACCCACAATATTGCTGGCAGCATACAGCCTGCTACCTTGCCTGTCAGGTGACAGCTCCCGGGGCATAAAAATAAAACCACCGCTGAATCCCGAGGGAGCCATAGACGCATTCGCAGGAGGCTTCGGCAGCACCTGAGCTGGCCGCTCCAGACACACCGTCACAGAGCCAGAGGCCAGAGCACTTCATTATCTTCTTGGCAAGCCCCGCACTTGCGGTTGCCTCAGCTGAACTGGGCTCCGATGTCTGGATTTCTGAATCAATAAAGAGTTGTAGATGCCATACGTCCGTGGGCAGGGCCTCCCTGCCAGGGGCTGGAGAGGAAGGTGCCACAGACACCGGACTCTCTAGAACCGGGCAATAGCACTGCTAGGATTGTAACCCTTTGGGCATTTCTGCTCTGCTTTAAATTTTTTTTAAATATCCAAGTGTAATCTTAGTTTAAGTAGAAGAGGGAAGGGAATTATCATTCATCGAGTACCTACTATGTGCTGGATGCTGTGCTAAATATATGGCTACATTATCTCACTTAACATCTATATCATCACGCAGACTCCATAGAGATGCTGTTATTTCTATCTTACATGTGAGGGTCAGAGAGGTGGGTGGAGGATCTTGAATAAAATTTCAAGTCTGACTTTACCTGCTTTGACGGTGCATAACCATCTAGAGCAGCGATTTTCAACCTTTTTTCATCTCTCGGCACACATAAACTATTATTGAAATTCTGTGCCGCACCAAAGAACGTATTTTTTGCCAATCAAACGAAGAGTGAGTATGGTTTTGATTCATTCACACCAGACAGCTATTGTTGTAGTTGGCTGTTGTCATTTTTTTATTTGTCAATCTGAGGGAAAAAGAGGTCAGTGCCCCTGACTAAATAGTCGGGTGTTGCCCGTTTTAAAAATTCTTGTGGCACGCTAGTTGAAAATCAGTGATCTAGAAAGCAAAATTAGAAAGGCCGAATCCTGGCTAGGAATTGTAGTCATCCAAGGAGCTCAAAAAGAAACAACCCTCTTTCCCTCCATCCTCAACCCCCATCTTCTAGCCCTTTTAAATCAGGATCTTCTGGACTGGAGTGAACACCCACACTTCCAGTCTGAACGTTTCCCGGGAACTGTCTAACTCGGTGTTCTCTCCCATCAGGACAGTGGAACAATGTTTCCACATGTGTGACAGAATGGTTATCTACTTCTTCATTGCTGCGTCTTACGCGCCATGGTAAGCTACAGCCTTTCTGTTTTTGAAGAATTGTGTTTTTATGATAGAATTGCCCAGTCCTTTCTTCCCTTCTTCCCGTCCCTATGTCCAGCCCCCAGGCATACGCCTAACCCTTCTGCCCCCGACACACATACATACATGCGTTATTTTACCATCTTGACGTACGTTGGCCAGATTGCAGATTTTAAGGGGAGAAAGCTGCTCTTGTTCGAGTAAGAGAACTAGCCAAATGCATTGGCTATTTAAAATGTCTGGTACTCTGATCCCTTTCCTTGATCTTCCTGCCCTTTTGGTATGGAGTGCAGATAGAATCTTTTGTTGCTTTGGAAACTGTAACTAAAGAAATATTCGTTTTCCATATCAAGACGTGGTCCAGTTTTAAACACTCAGAAAGTCACATCATGCCATCGACTACAGCAGTCATTAGCAACAGCCGGCCTCTAGACTCTGGCTCATGCCGCATCCATCATGCAAAAGAAACCTAATTATCCGCTGGAGGAAAAGGGAAGTGTGCTCTCTCCAGCACCTGTGACTAAATGACAGGCCTGCATTATATCAGAGAGAGAACCCTGACAATTTTAAATATAGGTGGAGGAATCACGTCTTTGCAGTAGACAGTTGTTCACACGTCATCTTTGATACGTGATACTTTTTCCATTTGGAACTATTCATTTTATAGCACTAGCCCAGTGGTCGGCAAACTCATTCATCAGCAGAGCCAAATATCAACAGTACAACGATTGAGATTTCTTTTGAGAGTCAAGTTTTTTGAAACGTAAACTTCTTCTAACACCACTTCTTCAAAATAGATTTGCCTAGGCTGTGGTATTTTGTGGAAGAACCACACTCAAGGTGCCAAAGAGCCGCCTGTGGCTCTCGAGCCGCAGTTTGCCAACCACTGTACTATCCAATCAGAACAGCGTGGGGTTTTTTTCCTCCTTATACCCTTAATAGGAAATTAGTACAAATGTATTTGCAGCGTTTTAACATCCAGGCCTCACAAAAGCCCACGGTACAATGCTAATAAATGTCTTCTATAATATATGTCGGGGGAATTCTTCTCATGTTCTCTCTTGGAAGAGAGACTGATAGTGGAGACGCTAGGTCTGAGTGTTAGGTATCTGCTGCGGTTATGTGATCCCTGTTCAGGGTTTTGCTCAGGGTTCCCGTTCAGCTTTGTAAGGGATCTGCTCTCCAATACATCCTCAGGACAGGAAGGTAAGCAGAATTCACAGCAGCCTGCTTATAGGGCCTCCCAGGTGTGCTGGGACTCCTACACATCTCCTTTCAGTAACTTCTGTTCCTAAACCACGTTGGAAGCTGAACTTGCTCTCCCGCCTGTAAGACTGGAGAACAACACGGGTTCTGCAAGTTCCCTTCATTGACCACCTCTGTTCTTTGTTGTCATTTTCCATTTTAGGTTAAATCTCCGTGAACTTGGACCCCTGGCATCTCACATGCGTTGGTTTATCTGGCTCATGGCAGCTGGAGGAACCATTTATGTATTTCTCTACCATGAAAAGTAAGAGAAAATCATTTACATTTGATCCCTTTAAAAGTAGCTGCCTAAGTTTTATCTCCGCCGCATTTGCTCTCTCTGTGCTTTGAAATAGTAGAAATACATAAATAGAAAATACCTTGTTTTTCAACAAATCTTCAGAACCGTGTTTGGTGTTCATCGCCGGTGGGCAGATTGCTGCGGGAAGAAATGAGTGGCCCGCGTGGTGGGTGTAGGCGAGGGACAAAGTGGACTGCCACTGAGCCTCAGTTGGACCTCATTGCACATCCTCAGGAAGCTGGCCTCACGAGCAGACCAGCCTTATCCCCTGAGATTTACCGTAACCATGGGAGAAAAAGAACAACTTCTCAAAATTCCTGTGACGGTGGAAGAGAATAGATATGGAGTGCCCAGCACAGCACTTACCTAGATAGGAACCTAGATTCTCTGAGAAGGAAGGGATTGGAAGGACAACTAAACCCTTTATATCCTAACCGTGGGGCTCATGTTAGTAATTCATTATTGTAGCCCATAGTCCTAAGTGTTAAGCAATATAAGAAGGAAAGTTGATTGAAATGTAGCATCTTCACTCCAGAGGGGACCTTCAAAGTCATCTATTCCAGGTTTATGCTTAAAAATCGAGAACATTTAGGACATGCATCTAATTAGTGACTCACCGGCAACTGGGACCCCAGTGTCCTAGTTCCTAGGCCACGGCTCTTTTCATTGTTGCATATGCCCGGATTTGAGGAGCTCACAACCAAGAAATCATTGTCATTGGACACAGTTTATTAAATTATGTATCTGTTGTAGTTGGCAGAATGGTTCTCAAAGTTCAGCATAATGTCTGTTTACCACAAAGCATTAAAATATTTTCCCTTTTCAGAAGGGAATGGTAGTTTTTGCTAGCTTCTCTCCAACTCTGAAATTCACATAAATGCATTGTCCCCCAGAATTAGCAATTCTGAGTGCTATTATGCAGTATATATAAATCCATGGAAACAGTTTGCTTCTTGGATTCAAATTTTTAATCTTTTTTTAAATATATATTTGGTCTCCAGAGATGTATATTTTGTTATGTTTTTATTTGGTTTCAGAGAGGAAGGGAGAGGGAGAGGGAGAGAGAAACATAAATGATGAGAAAGAATCATTGATTGGCTGCCTCTTGCACACCCCCTACTGGAGATCGAACCCGAAGCCTGGGCATGTGCCCTTGGCTGGAATCAAACCCAGGACTTTTCAGTCTGCAGGCCAACCCTCTATTTACTAAGCCAAACCGGCTAGGCCACCTAATTTATATTCTTGATAAAATAGGAAGTAAAGTAAGACAACTATCTTCTCCTATTGCAGACTTCCTAATGTAAACCAAACCTGCAAATCCCCCCTTCCCCAGTTCCCTCATAGGGTTCCTTCACGGTAGACTTTGAGTAGAAAACACTAAGAATGAGAGGCGAATGTCACTTGGCCATTCAGGTTGGCAGGTGTCGGGGAGGACCTTCCATGGTGCCAGGCCCAATTCTAATCCAAACAAAAATAAATTTGGCCCCTGCCTTTGAGGAGCTTCCGGTCTAGTTTGATTAGGCAGATATGTAAGTGCAGTTTCAACACAACTTCTGACGTGCCAGACATTCGGTAGCCTAATGTGATGAACCTTACACATTGGAATTCTTGTGTGCAGATGCAAAATGGTGAGACACAAATACATGCCCTTCCTTTCTTGGGGCTGCTCTCCCTTTGCCACTGGTAGAAACCAGCCCAAGCTGCATCTCTGCCATCTGCATGATTTGTCTCTCAGAGCAATGAGCCACAGGGGCACTGCGGGCAGGCCCTCGGGGACTAGGAGGGAACGGGCATGGTGGATGGGATTCAATAGTAACTGCTCTGATGGAAGGCATTTTCCAGGGGCATGTGGAGGCTGGGGCTTTGTCAGTCCTATAGGAAATGCTAGTTCACGTTACTCAAGCAGTGAGTTTCCGTTAGAGGCCTATTGGTCTCCTACAAGGGAAATACATTTTATTTGATTAGTTGAGGTTACTGGTTTTTGTTGTTTTTGAAAGAAAAAAACTGATATGGAAAGGGTCCAAGTGTTGTAGGAATAGACACATTAAATAAACTGTGTTCCATCCTGCAGGTATAAGCTGATTGAGCTCTTTTTCTATCTCACAATGGGCTTCTCTCCAGCCTTGGTGGTGACATCCATGGTAAGAAATGGCTTCATAATTTTAGTTACTTCACCCTATTTCCTTTTAAATCACTAGGACTCTTTATATGTCCATAGATAAGATATGCAGCTTTGCTTCCTGAAGTTATGATATGTTCATTAACTTAGAGACCCAAACGAAAAGAAGAGATATAAATTGCAAAGTGCCAGGAATTTGTACTGGCTACTGTCTATATCGTTTGGGAAAGTTGTACGTTTAAGTGTGTTTGTTTCCCTATGTAACCTGCTGTGTTTGTTTCTTTTGGATAACCTTTCTGTTCCTCCCACCCTCACTCACACTTCTCTTCACCCCACTCAGGTGTGAGATTATGTGAAGGTGGGTATTTCTCCTTGAAGTACTTAGTGTCTCAACCTGAAATCTATGGAAGAGGGTACCTTCTGAAGTTCATTACATGAAGGAAATATAAATTACTGATTTCTTAAATCTTAAAAATGGGAAGGACCTTAAAAGGGCATTTGGTTCATTTTGCACTCCCTTTCAAACCAAATTACCACTGAGAAACGTATGTGTAGCTGTCAATTTGAAACAAACACCTGTCATCACACCCTCCCAACCCCTACAACCTCCCCATCCCATCCAGCAGGTTTCTGTGCCTTAGCTTCGGCACTCCAGTATCCTATCCTCTACATTCCTGCATAGTCTCTGTGTTAACTGAGGAAGTCACAATGACTTCCATTTGAACTCTCTTCTCAGCCTGCCATGGTCCGAATTGTACCTATAATTTCACTACTGAGCTCATGGGCACAATTTTTTTCTTAATTTTTAGGGAGAAAGAGGGTGAGGGAAATGAAAAGGAAGGGAGGGACAGAGAGAGAGAAATCAATTTGTTGTTCCACTTATTTATGCATTCACTAGAGGCCCGGTGCATGACATTCATACACTCAGAGGGCCTGTGCCCTCTTGTAGTCCTGGAGACCTCAGGAGATGTCCGATTGCCGGCTTAGACCTTGCTCCTCACGGGCCTAATCCAGCAATCAGACATCCTTAGTGCTGCTGCGGGGGCAGGAGAGGTTCCCACCCCTTCTGCTGTGCTCGCCAGCTGTGAGCCTGGCTCAGGGCTTCTGGCTGAGTGGTGCTCCCCTGTGGGAGTGCACTGACCACCAGGGGGCAGCTCCTGCGTTGAGCATCTCTCTGGTGATCAGTGCGCATCATAGGGACTGGTTGTTCCACTGTTTGGTCGATTTGCATATTAGCCTCTTATTATATAGGATTGGTTGTTTCTTGTATGTACCCTGACCAAGATCGAACCCACAACCTTGGCATTTTGGAACAATGCTCTAACAAACTGACCTACCCGGCCAGGACCAGGCACATTATAGCAATGCAGTTTTACTGTATGCAGTTCTGATCACAGAAATACCTGATGACTGTTTAGGAATTAGTTACTGGTTTGCTATGTGTGTGTTTTTCCCCCCAGAGAATATGTCTTAAGAAAATGTAACAAAATACGCTCTTTGAGATATGAGTTGTATGATGGCTTGAACAATTCCCTAGTGCCAAGAATGTATATAATTTAGTTGCTAAAGGCAACAGGGACTGGCAAGGGGAGGGAGGTGAAGGACTGAAATGAGAAAATCTGTCTTGAAGATGCTAGAGTTAGAGGGCAATTGAGGACACCCAAACAATATAATAAGCAAGGTCTTATGTAGACAGTCATCAACCACCAGAGAAGTAAATTCTCCCTGGGTGTCATCAGAGCAGGTTTATCCAGTATTTTTATCAGCCTCAGTCTTTAATTGGCGTTTTTACAAGAAGTAATGTTATAACCAGACAGGATAATCCTCACGCTTGCCCCCACAGAGCTTAGAATCAAGCATGACATATGCACACGCTGTATTATAGAATTGATTACTGGAGACCTATGTCATTTTATTAACCCATGCCTCCCCCCCCCCAATTTAATTTTATTTTAAAAGTTGTTGTTTTCTACAGCATGACATTCCCAAGATTCATATATTTGACTACTTCGTGATTGGTTTTTCTTTTATTCTCTTTGTTTTCTTTATTTCTGTGTATTTTCATGTTAAAGATAAGGAGCGTATAGAACATTCTGGAAATAATAAACTGGGATAGAAAGGGATACCTCTGATAAAATGTTTATTTTATAGAGAGGACATTTAGCAAAGCCTGGTTCTTAGGGCATGGCCAGCCAATGCTGCCATTGCCTTGGCCTGGGCCCGTGGGCCCGTGCAACCAGGCGGCTGCATTAGAACTTGCCTGTGCTCCCTGCTCCGCTGGCCCCAGGACCTACCTCAAGGCTTAAAGGCCACCGCTGTCAGCACCAGGCCTCTCGGCCACCCACACGCCCGTCCCCTTCCAAGGCCTTGCCACCATCTGGTGAGGTTTCCGCCTACCCTGCAAAACCCAAGACCTTTCTGTCTGGTCCCCAGGAATCCAGGGGATTGAGCTGCTTTGTCAACTTCCTAAAGTTGTGTTCTGTTCTCATTCATACAACCCCGTTTAATCTTTAAGCTTCTCCTTGTTGTGCTAGGTCATACACGCCTGTTTCCTTCCTGCCAAGCTTGGAAATGTCCAGGCTCCAAGACAAAAAGGCCTGGCCATGTCTAGGTTAGGCAGTGTGTTGTACCATATGATCCTGGGTCAGCCATAAGGAAGTCGTAAACTCAGAGGCATGGAAAAGTCTCGGGAAAGCAATCAGTGTAGAGCAGGGCTTGAGGACAGCGGGAAGTGAAAATGCTGGCGAGGCATAGATGACAAATGGAGTGTATGGGTGCCTTAGCAGGAGGAAAGCTTTTAAAGGGGAAGATGAAAGCCAAGGATTGTTCTATATTAAAATGAACTGCCCTAGCCGGTGTGGCTCAGTTGGTTTGGCAGCGTCCTGTAAACCGAAAGGTTGCCGGTTCAGTTCCATCAGGGCACATGCCTGGGTTGTGGGCTCGATCCCCAGTGGGGCGGCATGCAGGAAGCAATGTTTCACATCGATGTTTTGCTCTCTCCCTCACCCTTCTTCTCTCTCTCTCTAAAAATCAATAACAACTTTAATAAATAAAATGAACTGCCATGCCTGGATGCGGTTGCCATCTGCTGAGACACCCTCCCCTCCTCCACCCACTGAGCAGAATGTGCTGCTCTGCACCATGGGACCCGTGACCTGATTGCTGGGTTGGGTCAAGATGTGCCGCCCAAAGGGTGATCCAGGTCGATGTTGAGAGACTCGATTTATAGACCAGGATGCTGTCTGCTTAGAGCTACTTTATTGTCTAGAGCCCTGGTCGGCAAACCGCGGCTCGCAAGCCACATGCAACTCTTTGACCCCTTGAGTGTGGCTCTTCCACAAAATACCATGGCCTGGGCGAGTCTATTTTGAAGAAGTGGCATTAAAAGAAGTTTAAATTTTAAAAATTTGGCTCTCTTGCCCTAGCTGGTTTGGCTCAGTGGATAGAGCGCTGGCCTGTGAACTGAAGGGTCCCAGGTTCGATTCCGGTCAAGGGCACATGCCCGGGTTGTAGGCTCCATCTCCAGAAGGGGACTTGTAGGAGGTAGCTGATCCATGATTTTCTCTCATCATGGATGTTTCTATCTCTCCCTCTTCCTTCCTCTTTGAAATCAATAAAAATTTTAAAAATTTGGCTCTCAAAGACATTTCCATCATTGGCCTGTTGATATTTGGCTCTGTTGACTAATGAGTTTGCCGACCACCAGGCTAGAGACTCAGGAGGCTGAGGAGGGCTGCCGTTACCCTCTGCAGCCTGTCGCCTCGGTAACATCGACACCCCTCCCTCTGCTTCCTGTGCCCACAGAACAACACGGAGGGCCTGCACGAGCTGGCCTGCGGGGGCCTGATCTACTGCCTGGGCGTGGTCTTCTTCAAGAGCGACGGCATCATCCCGTTCGCCCACGCCATCTGGCACCTGTTCGTGGCCACGGCGGCCGCCGTGCATTACTACGCCATCTGGAAGTATCTCTACCGCAGCCCCACCGACTTCGTGCGCCACTTGTGACTGGTCTGCACCCGGGGTCCGCAGCAGTATTATTCCTGCGATGGCGCTGGGGAGAGGGGCAGGAGCTGCAGGCCGCTCGGTAGGAGGAAAAAGACAACTGCACTGACTCTCTTTATATATATAGTCTGACTGTCATTACTGTGAAATTATCCATGCTGTGTTCTGGAATGTTCCAGAACGAATCCGTTAAGGTTAGTGAATTAATGACTCATTCCATTCCACTGTCACGCAGGACTCTGGATAGGCTTGGCCAACCGATGTTTACAAACCAGGATTTTGTATTTTGATTTTCCAGACTTTTACTACGTGGGTTTTTCTAAATCTCCAGGCCGGGTTGTCGAAGTCAGCGCGATGGCAGGGCTTCCTTTCGAAGGGAAACTCGTTGCTACCCCCTTTCCCATCGGCTGTGTAAGGATTCATGGGCAGAACTTACACTGCTTTCACCATGTTTCACCCTGACATGACATGGCTCTTTTTTAAACAGTAACTTCGTTGTTTTGTACATTTTTTTAAAAAAACACGTTCCATGGCCTCGCATCTCCACGGGTCCGCGCCCACGCGCATTCTGGCAGCAAGCCGTCCACATTCCACCTGCGAACCAACGTTGTGCCTCTTCCGATGGGGTCACGGGGCCTGAGAAATTGCCAATTTAAAAAAAAACACACAGTTTTTTCCAGCCGTTTTCTGCCAACCGCTGACTCCTGGGCTGCTCTGGGCCACGTCCTTGACCTAGTTTGGTTTACTAATGATGAAGTATTTTGATATCCCAGTAACGTTTCCAAAAGAGGCACCTTCTTCTCTGCGCCTTTGCCCCGTTTTCTCCAGGGTCCTCCCCAGCCTGTGCTCTCCTGTCGGTGGTTGGCCATTCCGAGGGGGAGTAGGGATTACCGTCCACGGTGGCGTTGCCTCTGGTGCCCGGCGGTGAAGTCACGGTCACCTAGCTCTATGTTACCAGTGTGATGCTCCTTTTTAAACTGTGGAATTAGATGCCCGAGTTCACATGTCTGCCTTTCTGCTCTATCTCCCCATACCCTTTTCCCTCCTTTCAGGTAGACAAGTATTGAAAGCATGGATCTGTAGTCCATGGGTTATATCCTGGCTTAGTGGAGTGGTATTTAACATATTACCTTTGGTTTCCCCTCCGTGTCTTATATTAAGATGAACACAGTAGCTGCTTCGTTGATTAATCTCTTTTTGGTGTGTTAATGAGTGGGACGGCCTTGCCTTGAGATCAGGTGCCGACAGTGGCTGTTTCCTAGTAACGGGTTTGGTCCGCCAAACTGTTGGTTGGATGAGACATTTAGGCTTCTATTGAACTTTTGTACTGACACAGCTTTCAAAGAGAGTTTATTTTGTGTGTGTGTGTGTGTGTGTGTTAAGAATTCTCCGTTTTCGGTGAATTATACGGGATGAGGGACAGAAGAACTGATAATTGGTGGCTCTTACAAAGGCGAGGTCATCCTTCATCACCCACCTGCATGAGTCTCAACATCCAGATGCCTGCTGTTTTATTGTGTATATTTTATTTTTAATATTTTAACTTCTGTGGATTCCTTTAAAGTTTGCCCAACTGTACCACTGACAAAACCACTAAAATGTATGTAAAAACGTGTGCTGTAGCCCAGAATAAAATTGTTACTTGGATTTGTTCCGCCGTCTCTGAGCTGGATGACTGAACGTGAGCGTGCATTTTTGAGAGCCTGAGCTTGTCTGCATTTGTAACCCATGTGCCAGCCTTTTTCTGAGAAGTCATGGTGGAAAGAAAAACAACTTTCTAGTCCACTTTCTACTAATTGGAATGCCAGCACCAGCTCCAACGTTAACCAACACACATTTTCCGTTTAAAATACACTGGTCAGGACCCAAGAGTGTCAGTTTTATAAACGATGGACCTTGAACAGCCTTTCGGCTTAGCTCATATAATACGCCGGAGGGCCGAGGTTACAGGCTGTGGTGTTACCAACCAGGGGTGCATCGCCCCGCAAACCCAACAACTCTGAATGTTAGACGTCCTTCTTTCCCTCCTACCAAGTAGGAAACTGTCTGGAGCCAGGACAGGCACCAGGTCTGTCCAGTTCCATAGCCCACTAGTCACCACACACCATGCATTTCAGTCGGCAAAAGCAAACGCATCAAACCACTGGATCGGAAAATTCATCGGGCAAGCACGCGGAAAAAGGAACGCGGTTCGTGCAGTCGGAGCCTCCATAAGCCCACAGGCAACTGCCCTGACATCTGATTTCAAGGACAGTGTCGCGAGGCATGGTGGTTCCCCAACATCCCATCAGGGGCCCCTCACCTCTGTCTAGACAAGCAAATGTCCACTATCGCCCTACCACCTTCAGTATCTCCTGAAACTTTTCTGAAGGTCAGACCTCTCCCATCAACAGCCCCCACGTTTTACTCAATGGCCCCAGACTGAGTCCATTATCCTTTGTTACCTTCCCATCAGGCCCATTTATCCATCCTTCCTGGATTTCTGCCTCACACACACCCAGCCCGGCCAGCTCCGCCCCAGTCACAACTCCCCAGTCTGGTTCCTCACCTCCCTTCTCATTGCAAGGCCCAGACTATTGCCGCCACCTCCTCCTCGTTTGTACCTTTGCCACCCGTTACACCCCTCTGATGCGCTCATCCTCCACACTATTGGCGTTACCTTCCTAAGAGAATCTAAGCAGGACTCCCTGCTTTAAAAACATCCAATGCTCGGCTGGCAGGGCTCAGTGGTTGAGCATCAACCTATGAACCAGGAGGTCATGGTCCAATTCCAGTCAAGGGCACGTGCCTGGGTTGTGAGCTTGATCCCAAGTAGGGGGCATGCAGGAGACAGCCGATCAATGACTCATCATTGATGTTTCTATCTCTCCCTTCTTTTCTGATATCAATAAAAAAAAAAAAAGTTGAAAAAATAAAAATAAACACGTCCAGCCCTCTTAGCATGGTCTCCTCCCATCTGTAGCGACGACAGGAACGTTGGTGAGAAACTGGCGTGGGAAGATCAGTGGGTCCCAAATAAAGCTCATTTACTGAAGCTTCCAGAGAACCAACGAACAAGAATGGATAAGCCTGGGAAATGATCTTGACCTCCCTCCTTCCCTCCTGTCCTCCTTCCTGAACATAATACAATGAACTGCATCCAGTTCTGTAATTCTTAGGCCTTAAGGTAGATGGCACTCAACAACCAACTTTCATATAATTTTAAACATTTCATATGTTTTGACTCTAAAATATATATATAACATTTTGAAAAATGGAGAACAGAACACGAAAAATGACCCTGCGTTCACTCATCCCAATGCATTTTCATGTATTTCCTGTCATTTTTTCCCCCTATCCTTATGGGATTGTTGTGTATTTTATATTATACATTTGTAAATATGCCATACATGTAATTTTACATACTGCCTTTTCCTTACTCATGTTATCATCAGCATTTAAAACTATTATCATATCATTTTCTTAGCCGGAATTTTCCGAGCCCCCATCAGCTTCCTGGACTGGATATATGCAGCCTATTTCGCTTATTCATTCACTCAATTCTGGATTTCTATATTGTTTTCCATTTTTCCTTCTTATGAGCAGTGAACACTTGCATAGCTTTGTCCGCATTTAGGGTGGGGTCTTTGAGGCAATCATAGACAACCGAGTGCTTCCTCTAGGGGGCGCTGTGCAAGTGAGCATGGATCTCCTCACCTAATCTTTGTAACAAACCTGATGGGTAGGTCACTCTATGACCCCATTTTCCCGAGGAGGAAAACGTACCTCTGGGGCTGTTACCTTGTAGAGGAGGGTGGCAGAGCCAGATTGACTCCAGGAAGCCTCAAGCCTCCTTTCATTCTCAGAAGTGCAATTCCCGGGTCAGAGGTTTATGAATGGGCTTACCCAACGGAAGGCCTTTAAAGATAACATCTCATCTCACCCCAGACCTCCACAAGTTTATTTGGTGTCTAGGGTTATGTCCACGCTTTTCATGGGCCAATTCAGTGCAGAGGGCAACAGGAAAAATCTCCCAGTGAGACTGACCCAGCAGGCCACGGCTCACCTCCTTCCTCCCAAAGCCGCAGGAGGGTTCCCCAGAGGAGCCGGGAATGTTTTTAGTTTCACGAGGTTAGAATTGCTGCATTCATGTCTTCCTGCTGCTTTTGCTGTTGTTGTTTTTTTTAACTATTATTATTATTTATTTGTTTTATTGTTATTTTTTTTATTTTAGAGCGAGGAAGGTAAGAGGGATTGAGAGAGACAAACATTGATCAGCTGTCTCTTGCACGTCTCCCCCTGGGGATCGGGACCCACAACCTGGGCATGTGACCTGACCAGGAACCGAACCGGCACCCTTTGGGGGAACGATACTCAACCCACTGAACCACCCTGGCCAGGGCCACCTTTGCTGTTTTAAACAGACAGTGCCAGCATGCTCTGTGCTCCACGCCATTCCCACCTCCATCCCTGCTATGTCACATGTAGCTGCTTTGGGAGGCACGTTAAGCTCTTCTCACCAGCAGCCTCTTCAATGCAACAGAACGCACTCAGCCTCCTACACAGCTCATTATCCATCCCCCTGACTTTTCTTAGGCGGACACAGAGCTGCCAGGCCTCGTGCGGAAATCTGCTCTGGAGCCTTACCTTATCTCCTGGGAGAGGTCCCAGGTCCCCTTGTCATCTATGGCAGGCCAAATTCGAATGCCCCATCAAATGTCCCTGCAAAAGTCAGGAAAATGCATTAAGCGAAAGGATCTGGTTCTTTTTAAAAGAAAAAAATCTTTTTTTTTATTTATAAATCACTAGTGTTTTTCTGAATCCCATCTGGGGGCCGGGTGTTGAGTGGGCGTGGCACCAGTCAGCCTGTGGCAGATGGGCCGGGTGAGCTCAGGCAAGTCTCTCATCACCTTTGAGCCTGGTTGCTGTCTGCAAAGGGGCGCGGCTCCTCCCTCCCAGCGCAGCCCTCGGATTACACAGGAAGCCAGGAGTGTCTGGTGCACGCCTGCTGCCCTGGGATTGGC